TTTTTTTTTCGGGGGTTGTCGTTCGCCGGCTGCCGCGGCAGCATGGGTCGCTCTGGTTTAGGACGGAGGCTGGAGGGACACCAAGGTGGTGTGTGGAGGGGGGCTTGTGGTGGCACTGCAAGCAGACCGGGAGGAAGCGGAGAGCCTGGAAGAGCCATTTGCAAAGACACAGGCAGTAGTTCATTTTCTCTGCTTGCTCTGAGATGTAATCAGTGAAAGGAATCTCTGCTAACGAGCTAAGGAGATGACACTTTCCCATCTGAAAACACTGAGTTGTTTAAAGTTGTTTTAATACGTCAGGTACAATCTCCTCACTCTGTCTGTGGCATTGTTCGTAATTATACACACAGAAAATTTCCAGCAACTGAGCCTTCGGGCTTTGCGTACGCAGGTGCAGGTTTGTATAAAGGAACGTGGTGGTGCCCCTTCCTCCAGCGATGAGTGGTCAGTACTCGAGGAAGCAGTGACCTGTTGGGAGTCAATGAAGGTTGCAGCCGCTGCTTTTCTGCAGGGTGAAACCCTATCTCGCATCACAAATCAAGGAGACCCCCCCCATATATATATATATAGCCATTTGGTGACTAGATGAAATACCAGTATTTTAACGTTACAGTGTATTTTTCATTACCTTGGGCCTGGTTTGGTCACCATTAACTTCAGGAGCTAATTCCTCTCGCTGATCCTCTTTGTGCTGCTGTCTGGGGGCTGCTTAGCGTAGGAAAGCAAGTGAGAAGTCAAACCTCAGACAAGTAGGTCAGTGTTTTCCAAAACATTGTTTGTGTATGTCCTATTACGGGCTTTTTTTTTTTTTTTTCCACTTCAACTTGAAGTGGATTAACACGCTGAAGAAAAAGTTTGAACTTTTAGAGGACGGCTATTTGCCATGCTAGGCTGTTTTTGAGAGACCTCCAGTTCAACTCGTTAGAACCGAGACATCCAAAATGACACATAAGAGCCTTTCCCTCCCCTCCACCCTGCCCCAATCATTTTTAAAGCACAGGAAAGTTTAAATCTTACTGAAGGTCGACTTACACTTTGATATGGTCTCTCCTATGCTACAGCACCCTCGCCTGCAAGGTTGGCAGTGTTTATTTTAGGATCACATCTGGGTCATTGAACCTGTCCCTGATGTGTGAAGCTTCACGTGTGCTACGGGCAGCCGTTCAGCGTCCGTCTCGCCGCAGCGCAGCATCCCGGTGCGGGCAGCCGTTACCTCTCCCTTCCAACACGCCTTTCTTTTGCCCGTCCTTTAGACCACGAGGCGGTACTGGAGAGCTCCCTGTGCATCTCGCTTAAAATTAATGTGGCATTTCTCAGTGAAGCCTTCACAAAGGCATCCTGCGCAGCACAGGCTCGGGGTCTCACCAGAGACAAGTGAATAGATGAGGTTAAAAACAAAGAAGTTGTAGAACAACTGTTTCGGAGGGAAAATATTCCGCCAAAAAACAGAGAGAGGTTTCTGCCAAGGAAATGTAGAAGTGCCAGAGCATCTGGGAATTGAGCTGGGACTTCGGTGTCACTGTGCTTGTCCCTTGAGGACTTGCAGATGTGACCGATAGACTGGAGTACAAACATGAAGAGGTATTTGGCCGCTTTCTTAGCAAAACACTGAAATACGTTGCCAAGGCCTCGAAATTGGGGTGGGATTCAGGCATTCCTTGCCCGCGAGCAGGTTATGGCTGCCGGAGGGCCGGGCGGCGGGGGCGGTGGTGGGCAGGCTGCAGAGCTGTCTGGCTGCCTGTGTAGCGTTTGTAGCATCAAGCTCAACGCTGGGCTCGGAATTGCAGATGTTGATTTGATGCTGCTTTTGCCAGTTCAGAGACGTTCTTCAATCCTTCCCCCTGCAGAAACCCCCTTGGTGCTCACTGGGGCTGCAGAGCTCCCTGCAGGTCTTGAAGCCTGGAGCAGCGGCTGGATGCTCCCCATCCTTCACCCGTTTGCCGCTCTCTTTTATATCTGTATTTTATTTTTTTTTTTAGGACTGCTGCTAAACTGCACTCTGTCACTTGGGACAAAGTGATGGGAGAGACGAAACGCAGCAGGATCATGTTATTTTGTGTGCAGACTACATTACTCAGTATGCTTTTCTCTCTTGTTATTAGGAAATAGTGGATTGGTTCAATGCCATCCGGGCAGCACGGTTTCATTACTTACAAGTGGCATTCCCCGGAGCCAGCGATGTTGATGTGAGTTTTCCTGCAGTTATTTTTTTTCCCCCGCCTCTTGCTCATTTTTAGCATCTGATTAACAAGCTGGAAGGCTTGGAGAGTGCTCCATCCTTCAGAGTATTTTGCAATTATTAAAATTGTTGTGGTGGGCTGCAGAGCCCGTGTGCAGCACCCGCTGCCGGCATCCCGCCTTGGGAACCGCGTGTGTGTGCAAGCACCGTGCTCGCACTCCAAGCGCGAGTCACGCGTGTGAGTCACTCCAGCGCTGTCACGTGTACAGAAGCCGTAAGGGTCTTTCTCGAAGATTGTTGCTATAATATTAAAAGCTGAAACGAAGGCTGGAAGGTAGAAGAGATGAAGGCAGAAGAGTGTCAGCGCTGTGTCCGAGCCTCGGGGCCGAGTTCCTGAGTGCAGCTCAGTGCGGCCTGTCTTATGAATCTCTGTCGTGTGTTTTCCGGGAGCTGGACTGCTAATTGCATTATCTTCTGCTAATAGAATACTAGAGGCTGTATTAGCCCAAGCTGACTGTAAGTGCCTTGCATTGCAATTGCTGTGTAACGTCACTGGCTCTGGACTTTTTGTTGTTGTTGGTTACTCTGTTACCTCCTTGACTTCGTAGATTTTGATATCTAATTGCATTACCTGCCTTCTGTTAATTACCTGGGAGGGGTGCAGTGGTGGTCTGGGGCTGGGGTGCAGGGTGGCTGTGTCCCGCAGCTGCCCCTGCTCCCCAGGGACCCACCGAGCCAAAGCCTTCCCGTTGGACCAGCTGCCCCGGTCTTCCTAATCCCTGGGGAGAATGAGGGGAGCAGGAGGAGGAACGGTCCCACAGCTGGGGATCCCTGCCACACTTCAGACCCCTTTTGAATAAGAAGTTAAACTGGGCAAATACAAAAAACCATAAGAAGCGCCTCGTCAGCCCGCTGTTGTTCGTACAGTCGCTGTGCAGTGTATACTTCACTTAATCCTTTCTCCCCCTCTCCATATTCTCTACTTCTGCTAAAGTTGGTTGGCACATCTGAATCCAATTGCCCCCAAAACCCCGCAGAGCTTAACAGAGTTGCTGTGTGTCCAGCAGCTGGTGAGAGGGTTCATGTGCTCACCCCGTGGCAGCTTCAGTGGGGTAGATAAGCTGTCTGTATTTTTACTTCTCATGCCCTTCTCATCGGTTATTCTCTGGGTGATACAAAGGAGTGTAACGCTTAGCGAGGTTTAATTTATGAGCAGAACCCTTCGGAGCTTTCAGCTTGGGGACAGCTCTGCAGAGATTGCGTTATGTACGTGAGGTAGCTCAGTCCTGGGTGCTGCCATCATTTGCCTCTATTTTATGCTCACTTTTCCCTGCCAGAGAGGTGAAAAGGTGTTAAATTTAAACAGGAGCCAGGTTAAATGCAGTAGAGAGGCACAAGTTGCTCACACCACCCTAAGGATGCCCAGGCTGCCTCTGCAGCTCCCGGGGAGCGAGGCTCTCTGAAGGATTCTTCGGGGACCCATCTCCAGGGTGGAGGAACCTCCCTGAGCCGAAGGTGATGAGCTCCTCGCTTAGCAAAGTGTCCTCAGCGCTGTCCCAGGAGCCAAACGCCTGGGCTACGAATGCTGCAGAGCCCTTCGCTGCCTGCAATGAAGCATCCGGGATGGAGGTGTTCCCAGCTGCTGCGGAGCGGCCGTGTGATCCTTTGGGCTGGTGTTTTTTGGGGTGTCTTTGCCCTGCAAGCACACGCCTGCTCGACCAGAGCTGCTGTCAGACGGTTAGGTGTTGCGGGAGTGCGGTTTGGCAAGCGGAGCCATTAATAACCTGATGAAATGAAAAAGGCAGGAGCAGGGGCGGGGAGGCAGAGCGGCGTGCGGTCAGGCTCGTCAGCCCCATTTTTGGTGAGCCTCATCATCTTTCAAGAGGCTTTCAGAGGCGTCTGCTAAGATCTCACAGCTACAGGCTTGTCTTCACTGAGCAGCGTTAAAAATATCCCCGACGCTGGTCACTGTTGTCAGAGATACCTGCAGGAAGGGGGAGCGCACACGCAAGCGTACATTAATGAGGTTTTACAGGCGAATTATACCTTAGTGAGGAGCTCCCGCTGCGTCTGGTGGAGGAGATGCGCTGGCAGAGCTGGCCGGTGAAGTGGGGTTTGGCCCAGGGGCTGCTCTGGAGGCTGGTGGGTTTGCTGGCAAGGCGCTCAAAGCTGCTTCGTGTTTCTGCACCTGTCTCTTCTGAGCACGGTGGAGAGCGGGAGCAGAGCGTGCAGCCAGTGCTGTCGGGTGGGCTTGGGGCCGGGGGTGTGCTCGGCAGGGGCTTTCTTCCAGCGACCCCCCGGTGATGCCCCAGCTCCCTCCATCTAATGCTGCTCTCTCTTTTTCTCTCCTCTTTGGTTGCTCCAGCTGGTGCCAAAGCTTTCTAGAAACTACCTGAAGGAAGGGTACATGGAGAAAACGGGCCCAAAGGTAGGCTGTAAAATGTTTCTGCAGTCCCTCTAAACACAAGTCTTCCTCTGTACGGGGCTGAGGAGGGTCCGCTGGTGGCAGAAACCCACCCTTGCTTGAGGGGCAAAGACTTCACGTGGTGAATGCTTTAATACACTTTCCCCACCTGGAAGCAAATGTTAAAAAATCCAAAACCACAGACCAGCCACCCCATCTCCCCTCTCACTGCCCGTTCCTGCAAGCCCACCTAGTACAGCTTGCGTGGAGCCAGCTTGTGGTGGCCCAGGAGCCGCCTGTCCCCAACTCTCCCAGCTCATCGGGCTCCTCTGAGTGCCCTGGCACTCCTGGGTCGTGCCTGGTAAGCAAGGAGCTGCACTGCACCCATGTGTGACCTGGCATTTTTTGACTCTTCAGCAAACAGAGGGATTCAAGAAGCGATGGTTCACCATGGATGACCGGCGGCTGATGTATTTCAAAGATCCCCTGGTAAGGTGAAGGTGCCTGGGCTGTCTGTTGGGAATTATCTGCAGTAATAATAATAATGGTGGTAACGGTGATAATCTGGAGTGAAACTCAGGCCGGTGGAAGAGCCAAGGGGACACTGAGCCGTCACTGCCGGATGGATCTGCCTGGTGTCCAGTGTGCAGCAGCCCTGCGCACAGATACTCAGCAAAAATGCTTTGGAAGCCCCGAGCACTGGCTGCAGGCTTTTCTGTTTCTGGGTTTTGGCTCCCTGCTGTTGGTCCTGTGTCGTGGGTGCCCCAGGAGGAGCCGCAACGGGGCTTCGTGGGGTGCGCAACGGGTCTTCGTGGGGTGACTGGTGCTTCGGCTGCGGTTTCTGGATGGCGGGGGGTGAGCGGTGTCCTGGCTGCCCGGGACGCGGGGCTCCCCTGTGCAATCGCGCCTGCCTGACCGCTCCGCTGTCTCCTAGGATGCCTTTGCTAGAGGGGAAGTTTTTATTGGGAGCAAGGAAAACAGCTACAAGGTCCTGGAAGGGCTCCCACCATCCACGCAGGGAAACCACTGGCAGCATGGGATAACCATCGTCACCCCGGATCGGAAATTCCTCTTTGCCTGCGAGACAGAGGACGACCAGCTGGAGTGGATTACGACTTTTCAGAAAGTGATAAGCCGACCGATGCTGCCTCAGGAATACGCAGGTGTGTTTGCTGGCGAGGGCTGGAGGTCAGCCTCGGCCCCTTGATTTCCCGGGGGACGGGGTGGATGGAGGGGGATCAGGGATGCAGCGGCATCACTCCCTCCTGTGCGGCGTGAACGGGGAGGATGCAGAGGCTGTCCAAGCAGAGAGGGATCATGCTGGGAGGAGGAGGGTGGTATCCTTCACTCTACATCACCTCTGGCGTGACGTCTGTGGTGCTGTAAGGATGACCGGTCACCCAGTTATAAGGATAATCAGAGCCAAGGAGTCCTGGCAAGACAAGGACCATCCGCAGGATGGGCTTGTGCCGGACTGTCGCTGCCTCGCAGGGCTTGTCCTGCTTTTAACTTTATTTTCTCTGTTTTTTTTCTTTCAGTGGAAGCCCATTTCAAACATAAACCTTAGCTGGGACTGGCTGGGCAGACCTGAGGAGTCAGCTTCTGTTTACAACACAACGTGGTTTTATTTGAAATGTTAAAAATAATGAATAATAATAATAACAGTAATAATAATAATACTTCCCTTTCCCCTCATCATTCACTTGATCATGTTGGAAACCAAGAAGGGCGGCAGTGAAACGTCGGAGAAGATGCTGATCCAACCCGAAATCGGGCTCTGTGGCTGGGGCCCGGGCTCTGCCAGCCTTTTCCCCAGGGACCAGTGCGTCCCGGAGCAGGGAAGAACTGGGAATCGTGATGGGCGAAATGGCGGAGCCTCCCGACGGCATCGGGGTAAATCAGAAGTGGATTAATTACCTCACACAGCGGTGCTGCTGTACGCAGGCTAGGGTCCTTCGAGATTTGGAAATAGAGGAAATCGGCATTGTTGGCCTCGTTACCTACTTAACGAAGGGCACGGAGGAGGGGTGCCCAGCGCAGGTGGACACCGAGCCACGAGGCGATGCGAGGGGAGCAAAGCTCTTGGGGTCAGGGCCCGTGCCCCCATCAGTGCCCCGCTGTGCCCGTGCTCCCCTGGGTCCTGTTTTGTGGTTCGGGGAGGGGTTCACCCACCGCATTTCGGGAGCCCAGTGGGTTGCGGGGGGTGAGCTTTAGGTGCGGTTTTGCCAATGGGCGCCATAGCCAGCCCACCCCTGGCAGGCGCATCTCCCCCGCCCGACGGCACGTCGCTTCTCCAGACTGGTGGTTGCACTTTCTCCCCCCCCCAATAATTCTCTTTAATTTTTTTTGGTTGAGATTTTTTTTTTTTCCTGCCAAAAAAAAAAACAAAAACAAAAAGCTGCTTGAAGTGACGTTTCAGCGCTGTGTTGAGCACTGTAATTCCTGCGGTCGGGGCAGGCGGGCTGGGACCTGCACACCATGTGCTGGATTTTTATCACAAAAATGAAATTCCTGGCCCCTGCTGAAGTACCAGCCCCGGACACTGAGCTGTCTGATGCGTTTCTTACGTTGGCGTGTGTAAATGACAAAAACAAAAAGCTGCTTGAAGTGACGTTTCAGCGCTGTGTTGAGCACTGTAATTCCTGCGGTCGGGGCAGGCGGGCTGGGACCTGCACACCATGTGCTGGATTTTTATCACAAAAATGAAATTCCTGGCCCCTGCTGAAGTACCAGCCCCGGACACTGAGCTGTCTGATGCGTTTCTTACGTTGGCGTGTGTAAATGAGAGCATCTCATCGGCTGTATGCATTCGTTCTGTCACTGGTAAGACAACTATGGTACTAAATGTCATTGGAATCAATAAATTATTATGTCAGAGCCGTGGCTGTGTGGTGCTGGGGCAGGGGAGGGAGGGGAGATGGGGTTAAAAACCAACAAAAGAAAGAGAAGGAGTAGGGGAGGGTGCTGGCAGAGCCCGGGGATCCCTACGGAACCACCTGCCCCCTGGTGTGTGTGCGTACACCCTGTGCATAGAATTCATGTAAAGCACACACAGAGATTTATGTGTATTATATAGATTTTATATATAATACTACTATTTTATATCTATGCATACAGATGCAAGATACATATTTCTTAGGACTACAGAAATAAATTCTATGAAAGAGTTGTTGACTATTCACAGACACAACTATAAACTGCATAGTAGCTATAGCATAATATATAACACACTTTTATGTGAGTGTATATGAGCTGAATATAGCTCATATGAACACATGCAGGTGTATACGTAGCCATCATTAGACACACACATTTAATTTACAAATGTCTAAGCTAAATGTATTTCATATACACATCTGTATATGTAGAGACATTTTTATAAAATATTTAATTGTATATTATATACACACATGCATGCTTTTTTGTATAGGTATAAAGTATATAATTTATAAACATATAAATTTATAAGATAAATATACTGCATATAACCATACATATATCCACATGCATATGTGGATGCAAAACTATAGGTTATTTATTTTATATTAAAATTGTGTATAATTACTCACACACACCCTGTCACTCACACTTACTTGAAAACCCAGGCATGTCCAAAGCAGGGAGGGCACAGACTGGGCTAGTTGTGTTTATAGCTAGCAAGATCTTGTGCATGTGTAGTTAATATAGTTAATATTAAAAGTTATATGCCATACAATTAAGTTGTTACACGCTGCCCCCGGGCTCCGTATGTGGGTCCACTCACTGCCGGACACCACAGACCCTCCAGCTGCCCCCGCAGGCACGGTCACCAGCAGCCAAGGGCAAGGAACTGCCATGGCTCTTAACCTGCAGCCAGCGTCCCAGAGCATTTATTAAATGCCTGCAGCATCACCCTGGGTTGGGGGTTCTTCCCTGGACTTGCTGCAAGTCAAAGCAATCCCTACCCTGCCCCAGCCATTGCAACGCCGGACTCCAGCTATGCTCTTAACGGCACAGAGGTAACTCTGCAGCACTCAGGTCTGGGTGACCCATGGTCAAATGCGGGGGGGGGGTTGGGAAGAGGAAGGACAGTAAGATCTCGGCTCATAAAACTCTCAGAAAGCACCCGTATCACCCATCCTGGTATAAAGTGTTTATTTGAGACTTCACAATTAACACAAAGTCTTCCTTTCAATGCCTTTTCTTTTTCATACAGTCAATAAATTTGTATTAATCCCTCCCCCCCTGCATGATTGCTGTTTATTAATCTAAGCCTTTTTATTTTCATCGTGAAAAAATAAAGCGTTTCCCCACCATTTCATCTGTTCGCTGTACCAGACATCCACTGTGCTGCATTAATAGAGGAGGAGATGTAGAATGGCTATGCCTACTGCTGGGGTTGAAGTTACTCCATTATTTATCAATTTATTCTTTTTTACAGAAAGTGTTAAATGAGTCAATCACCCAAGAAAAATAAATATATTGTAAAGAACCAAAAGTTCTGCAGTATCCCTTTTCTTTACATCCAGCTGCAGTTCAAACACATACGTTGCTCGCTACAACTCATTTCATTCACTGTAACGCCATATGGTTGTGAACTTACATGGAAAAAGAATCTGTTCCAAAGGAGTAGAGCCACGAGCCAAATTTTTATACCTAGGCAAGAGAGATCCACATGGAAGCCAATTACCTAAGTTCCACTGATCGGCTTTTACTCAAGAGCAATTCAATCTTGTGCTTTTTGGGAGATGCCAGCTAACGACACGCACGGGCTTGGCCAGCGCCAGGCCTTCAGCAGAGGGAAAGGCAGTACGAATGGCGCACGCGTTGCTCATGGCAGTGGAAACGAGTTCTTGGTGCCAATGTCTCTTGGGTGTGCATCTCAGATTATGCTGCTTAGCTGATCTCGCAGTATTTTTGGCATCAGCCTCGCAAATAAATTATTCAACTGATCACCCTGCCTTTTGAGATTTTCCTTGGAGGTGGCAGAGGTCAAGGAGGTTTTTCTCGTAACAAAGACGGTATTGGGTAGGCTGTGAAGTAGAAGACCCATATTTATGCTTTATTGAATTACTGTGCAAAAGGGAATACTGCATCAGAAACCGTAGAAGACTATATTTTAATCAAAGTCACCAGCCGCTGTATCAGAAACCTGCTAGCAATTGCTCCGATTGGTTCATTTGGGTACTTGTTGTTGGTTTCTTTCTTTTTTTACATAAATAATATAGACCGAACATTATAAACATTTCAGCAACCACTTCTAAATGACCGGAAGAGCCCTTTAGGTGCCAAGAAACAACTGCGGGATTCAAATTCCAAAAGTGTCTTTGGAGTCATCGAATCATCAGATTTACACGGCACCCACTGACAACAACATTCAGTCAAGCTCAATCGGGCTGCTGTCTTCCTGACCGTCTTCTGTGTCGTCATCCTCTCCAGTTCCCATCAGGCTGTTTAAAAGATTTCCTAGAATAAAATACAGGACAGTCAAAGTTTCTAATTTTACACTCTTATCTCAAAACCCTTAACTATTCTCTCACCACCCTGCAAGGGTGCAGATTTTAATGATGAGAAAAAACTGGGGGTTTTTTGGTAAGTAAAAGAGTCCATCGGAACATTAGTATTCCCACACTGGTTTCCATTAAGAAATTATTGATTTGGGAAGCTGTATTTTGATACTGTTCCTTCTCTAAGAGCACACTGGAAAAACTCCACTGAAGTCCCACGCTTATGTACCCTAGTTGCAGCATGAGAGGAAAGAAAAAACCCAACCACATGAGGACAGACTCATCTCCAGGCACACAACGGTCAAAAAACAGCAATTGTGGATCATGCTATGAAGAACTTATTTTGACGCATTTGTGCATCCTCCCTGTTTTTTTCAATTTAAAGATGTCTGAATTGCTGAAAAGCTGTTATTTACACGCCGGGATCTATGATGCTCATATTGTTCATCAGACTTTAGGGATCAGTGAACTGACATTTGCAGGTATAGCTTCAACTCAGTTTACAAACAGAGAAGCTTAGTTCTCAAGGAAGAACATCTGATTTTACAAAAGTAATCCAGTTCAACTTGCTCAGAGCCAGGAAATGAGGGCTGAATTCCTCTATTCCCTTTCATTTCTTGTACAAGAGCAGTATTAATTTCAGAACTTCTACTTTGGGAACATTCATTTTATATCAGGACTGGTCAGAACTCTACCAAAGTCCCACATGCGACAAAGAAAATCAGCCTCTGAAGTCTGATTAATTAAAGTCTAATTAAGCTTTAACATAAACAAGATTTTTCTTTACATTTGGAAGTCATGCCATAATGTCAAAAATTAACCGTAAGAGTAATTTACATGCTTCTCCCCTTCTCAAAGATCTACTAGCTTCACCAAATTAATTTCATGTGCAACCAATTCATCTTGTGTTCTACAGCAGTGACTATTTCTACAGGCTATGAAAAACACCGATACGTTTGTTAGAACAAACTACCTGTTTCCAGCACATCTGTTTTATATAAGCCGCTGCTCTGAAAAGACTGGTGGTATCTACAAACAATTATCAGCACAAATCTTACCTAGTAATCCTCCATAGGACGATGTCTGCTTGGGAGGAACACCAAAGAAAAGCTGTCCTATTCTATCTAGGTACTGAAATGACACAAGATGAAGAACAAGGTCAGCCAGTTCGTTTACGGGTGAAAATACCAAGGGCAGCAGTCACACTACGCAAGCTAGATCACTGACTCCTATTTACCAGTCACAAAGCAGGAGATTATCAGCTATTATTTAACTAATT